ACTCCCAATCTCTCTGCATGAGAAAGTCCACGTTCCACAGCCTGGCACCAATCTTGAGCTCTGACCCTGCCACCTGACTGTCCAGCCTGCTGGCTCTGGAGCATGTCCCGCCACACATGTCAGGCAGCAGCTCCTACCCCTCAAACTTCCTAGCCTTCTTCTGCTCCTAGCCATCCACTAGAGCTGTGTACTCCACCCACCACCAACCCACAGGGTCTGGCCAGCATCAGTGAGAGCAAAGGTCCTGGGAGCAGGAGGCCCCAGGAGAGACAACAACAACTGATAATGAATTATGAATTTCCGAATGTTGAGAAGTAAAGGCCCAGGTGGGGAGGGCTTGGGACCGGAACTACACTACTAGGAGGAAGATGACCCCCAGGAAGGGAATCTGGCGGCAAGAACTGCCTGTGCAAAGGGTGGGCAAGAGTCAGGCTTCAGGAGCTGCTGTGGAGAGCTAGTGTGGCATGAGGAACAGCATGAGGTTGACCTTAAAGAATGTGTTCAGAGCCAGGCAAGTGGCACACTCCTCTAATCCCAGCATTTGGGAGGCAGACACATGTGGATCTCTGTAAATTCGAGGCCAGCCTGGTCTACATAGTTAGTTTCAGGACAATTCAGAGATATATAGTGAGACCCTATCTTGAAAAAACAGACAGACAGACAGACAGACAGACAGACAGACAGACAGACAGACAGACAGACTGACTGACCTTGTTGTACAGGAGACAATCAATCTCCTTCCAGATGATAAATATGGAAAGGAAGGGCTAGGGAGTTAGGTCAACTGGCAAAAATGCTTGCCTTACAATGAATGAGAACTTGAGTACAATCAATCTGAAGAAAGAGAAAGTGAAAGACAGAGAGAGAGAGTGACAGAGAGAGACAGAGACACACACAGAGAGACAGACAGACAGACAGACAGCAACACAGAGAGACTGCACCAAGCATGGCAGCATATACTTAAAATCTCAGTGTTGCTCAGTGTTGGGGAGGCAGAAACAAGCAGATCCCCAGAGCTTGCATCCAGCCAGTCTAGCCTACTTGGCAAGTTCCAGGCCAAAGAGAGACCCTATCTCAAAAACAAAAACAAAGACAGCCTCCACATCCATGATGTGTGTACACACATGCCCACAGACTCATGCACAGTCCCAAAGGCCACCAGATCCCACCCTCGTGGTCAAAGTAGACAGGTGGCACCAAAAGTGACAAGAGAGGAGCTTGCTCTTACTTGCTTAAGGAGAAGCCAAGAGGCCCCAGGGTCCCTCTGTACCAGCCACACCCATCCCCACTGGCCCAGGAGGCACCACCCTGGGGGACCTTTGCCCATGTCTGTGCACTGATAACTAAGTCTCAGGTAGTGGGCGAAGGTGCCAGACGGCAGGCTCCACATGACCCTTGGAGCAGAAAAACAACTGACTCATCCAAGTGATCCTCCATTGTGAGGCTAATCCAAAACACGAAAACTGACTAGGAGTGGTTTCCATGACAACAGCTTGAATGACCTGCAATATGCACCAGGCCCACACCCTTCCACCTGCTACCTGGACACTAGGGGGGAGCTGGCCATAGTTCCAAACCTCCCTTCCCTGAGGACGAGAGGCTAGGGAAAGTATCCACAGGGCATTGTACTTTAGGGCCATGAGGAACATCTCCAAAAACTCCTCTTTTCCCGAGTATACAGCCTTGCCCTGGGGACCTGAACACAGATGGGGCCCTTTCGGCAGAGCCCTTCCTGAGGCAGAGCCCCTTATGCAGGCACTTAAGGGGCAGCACCATCAAGGTCAAGTGTCAGCTCCCAGCCAGGTCCATGTTGCTTGGCTTCTGACCTTGCACCTCTCAGGAGAGATGACCAGGTCAGTGCTGACAGCCCCAAGTGTCATGCCCCACTTCATCCTGAGTCCTTCAATCTGTCCTAGGCTGGTGCCATTGTCCCTAGACTACATCCACTCCTGCTCACTTCCTGGGGCCTCTGAGGTATGCAGCCTGATGCTCTTTCTCGTAAGAGCTGGTCTCTTCCCCAGGAAGACATGTCCTGGTCTGTATCACGTATCTGGTTTCTTGCTGAAACAGACTGCTCTAAAAATTTTCCCTCAGAAATACCTAAGTTACCATCCCAGGCTAGGGGCCAGCAATGTGTGTGCTGTGCATATGGCAGACTCAAGACCCAGCCAAGAGCCTCTCCACGAGACATCCGACAAGCACATGTTCTCCAGAACGTTTTTCCCCACACCTAGAGCAGCTTTGGTAGCTGCCCTGGGCTAGGGGCTCTCTCTAGTGTGTCTGGAGTAGAGGAACGGGGTCAGGGACACCCCTATGGGGGCACTGAGCTAACTACTGACCAGGCCATTTCTTTTCAGAAGAAAAACAGTACTGATGGGAGTGAACAAGACTGTGACAACACCTGGGAAACCACGGGCACTCGGGCCACATTTGCTCCCGGAAGAAGGTGCTGCCTCCTCATTGTTATTGTTATTTATTTTAAAGAACTTTATCATTATCATCATCATCATTGTGTATATGGCCTGCATGTATGTCTATGTACCACACGTGTGTCTGGTGTCCATGGAAGCCAGAAGAGTGCTTTGTATCCCCCGGAACAAGATTCATAAATAGTTGTGAGCTACCATGTGTCTGCTGGGATGAACCAGGGTCCTCTGGAAGAGCAGTCAGGGCTCTTAACCACGGAGTCACCTCTCCAGCCCTCCAGAAGATGTCATCTTAATGTAAACAAATTTATGCTATCGAGGTTACATGGCCCATGGATTTAGAGGCTGGCTCCACCTCCCATGTGCTTAAAACTAGGGAGCCCTCCCGCTCATTGGACTCTAGAGAAGTGACAGGGCAGGGGGCAGAGCAAGATCACCAGCAATGGTTCCAATGACACTTGATCACTTTCTAACTGCAGAGACTCGAGAAGGTTACCTATGTTGGTCTGAATGAGAAATGTCCCCCTCCGTCTCAGGCATATGAATATTTGGTCCCCAGTTGGTGTCACGGGGGACCTTTAGGTGGTGCACTCTCGATGGAGGATGGGCTTTAAGAATAAAATGCCTCAGCTATTTCCAGTCCACTCTTCGCCATGCTTTCCCAGCACTATGGACTCTCCCTCTGGAACTGTAAGCTAAACCAAACTCTTCTATAAGTCACTTTGGTCACAGTGTTTTATCACAGCAACAGAAAAGTAACTGACACACTACCCAATCTGCAACGCTTCTTCACCTTGAGGCAGTCAGGCTACATGTTGGCCCAAGTAACACAGAATAAGGTACTGCAGACCAGAGCCCATGCAGAGTGACTCTGAATATCTCCTGCTAGAGTCATCATCACTCTCCTCATACCTGACCTGGTTCTCCCAGACAGAGCTTGCCAGGGTCCCTGCAAGGTGCCAGCACTGTCCTCTGTGGGATTGGCAGACATTTCTGCCTCAAGGGTCTATACAATTACCCAGGCTCTGATGTCATCCTGGAGAACCACTGCCTGAGGAGCTGTAGGCACAGGAATTCGATATTTAGGGGCCTCCTGAAGGACAGGAGGCATGAGTGGGGTGGCTGCTTTTCACTGAGTGTCCACAGTACCTACAGGATGGTGGTGAAGGCCATGTGAACACTTGGTCACTGAGAGGTGGTGTATGAGCCACCAGCAGGGAACAAGCAGTGGATTCAGGAAGTCAATACTGAGCCCGGCCTCTGCCACACCCACACAGCTCTGAGCCTTAGTTTCCTGGTTATAGACAAGGCTAACAGACCTGCCCTGAGGGATCTAGAGAGGAAATGGGCTCAGGCTGGCTGCTTTTTGGACTAAGTCCAGGTCATGGAGTGGGGGCCAGTCAGGGCATAATTCCTGCCTTGACTGAGAACACAGGGAGAACCCAGGGAGTAAGCACATCACACACTAGCAGCAAGTACCCTCCAGGACTGAGTGTGGGAGCACTTTCCATCACTGCCCAGCTGCTGCTCCCTGCAAGCACCCATTTTACAAACCAGAAACCTGAGGCTCCATGAGGTGGAGGAGAGCCATGGCTACAGCCTCAGCCTATGAGAAGACAGAGCTCAGCAAATAACAGAGACTTTATAAAGAGGCCCATGGGGACGATCCCTACCCCATTGGGGACAATCCCTACCCCACTGCGGCCACCCCAGAACGCAAGCAGGAGGCAACTGGTAGGAAAAGAAACTCCACAGCAAGAGGTCTCTAGGAAGTGGGTGAGAACCATGAGATACTCAGGGGGCTGAGGCCACCAACCCTGAACACGTGGCAGACTGGAACACTGTCAGCAGGATGGCTGCTGTGTGACAAGAGTCCCTTTGTCCTGGCCCAGGAAAGGATCTCTAACCTCCAATTACTGCCGATGAAAAGTGCTGGTCCAAGCACCCCGTGCCCCAGGGAGGCCCGGGAACAGCCACTGTTTCAGCCACATTTCTGCTGATAATATGACTTTGTTTAGTGACCCCTGAGCTGCCTGCCAGAGGAAAGAATCATGTCTGTCCACAAAAGAGGACACATGGCACAAGTCAGCAGCGGCAACAGCAGCAATTGTCACCCCACATGAAAACCCAGGGGTCAGGACCCAGAGCTGCTGGGGAAATGGGTAGGGAGCAGGGAACATCCCTTGGGCTGATGAGAAATGTCAAGCAAGGCATACACAATATCAAATTAAACAATACAGGGGTTTTTCCACAAATGCAGGACATGGTTCAAAGGCTTTCAAGGGACCCTTGCTTGACCCCAGGTGCAACAGAAGGGTCTCATCCTGGGGTCAAAGTGGAGTCACCAGGCAATGCTAAGCACACTTGCCCTGAAGGCACAGACCTTATCTGGGCTCAGCAGCACTGTGACCATGAGCAGGACATCAAACCTGGGTTATACTAAAGCCTGAGGTCTGGCCTGCAGCTGAGCACTTGTCAGAGCCATTTCTACAGATGCCACAGCTCTTAGCTGTATGGCCGCCCTGGCCTCCCCCCCCCAACCCCTTCACAGCCAGGCATCACCCCCTCACTCACTTGGAATCTGTGCACCAATTCCAGGGACTGGCTGTCATTCTGATCAGCCTCGAGGATGACATCTGTCAGCTTGTGGATGATGACGTCCAGGGGGCCCTGCTCCTCAATTGGCCGGCTGAGGTTCAGCTGCAAGGTGGAAACACAGAAGAGCTTCAGTGCCTGAGTGCACATCTGGGACCCTGAGCATCAGTAGTGCCCCAGAGGGGAAGGGACTGAATCAACAGAGCAAGAATACAGGGGCTCACTACTCCTCATTCTTGGTAGTTGGGGATGTCTACATGTAGGTGCAAGTTTTCATTCATGCCCCCCAAAGGCAGAAAACAGGAGCAGGGGGTGCTACACACTGGCTGTATGGAGAAAGCATTTATTGAACACACTGCAACTGCCCAACGACCTAGGGGAACCAGAGCTCAGAGAGGTTAAGAAAAATGACCAGTTACCCAGTCACAACTCCATCTAAGCAGTGTTCTTTCCCTCTGAGGCCTGGGCAGAGTGATGCTCTTATACTCGCCAGTATAGGAGTCACTGACTCCTATACTCGCCAGTATAGGAGTCACTGACTTGAGAAGCCAGGCACTTGCATTCCACCCTGAGATGGGGCTGTGTCGCTGACGCTGACGGCGGAGGGGTGCAGGATCACAGAGTTGCCCCTGATCAGCTGAACACTGCATGTACTGCTCCCTTGGGGAATGTGTTTGTTTTTTCAAGAACCCGGGGTTGGGAAGATCAAGCCTCGGGGGAGCCAGAGTGACCAGCTGATATTCAGCATCACCTGACCCCAAGCCAAGAGCACCTGCCAACAACTGGGGCAGCCTGACACCATGCTTCCTGAGGCGCCAGATGTCTGCCCCCAGCATGTGGCCACCACCACCTGCATGCAAGGCTAGACTCTTGGAGGCAAGTTGACGCCAGCCTAGCACCTGGCTGACCCCCCACATAGCCTAGGCCAGGCCAGAGAAGGCAATCCCTGACTTACTCCCCACCCTCAAGTGCAGCTCCCTCTGGGATGCAGGGCTGGCTGTGCCCATGTCATTCGTGATACAATACAGCCACAGACAGTCATTCTGAGGAAGACAGCAAGCTAATGACATACATATCTGTCTCCTTTTATTTTATGGGAAAGGATATCACAAACAAAGCAAGTGAGAGCAGAGATTAAAAAAAAAAAAAAAAAAAAAAAAACGTGATTAGGATCTGGGTGGGAGAGTTCAGCTTGGATGCAAAGAGTTAAGGCAACTGATCTGAACTCCCAACCCATCCTTTATCCTCTGCTCCATGACCACTCTGTCCCCTCAATCTCAAAAGTCACACAGCTGCTGTTCTCTGGCAGAACTGTAGCTAGGGGCCCTCATGGAAGGAGAAGGAAGGCAGGTCAGGACACAGGTCCCTGCACCTGGTCCTTGTGCCACTTTCGGTCCTGGTATTTCTACACAGCCCATCTCCCAAGACCACCAGCTATTTCTGTGGCTCCAGTTACATTTTTGGTTCCCTGTCCCAGCAGGCCTATAGGTGGTGACAATTCCCCACACTTGTTCATACTACGTATTCTGTCTTGTCGGCCCCTCAGGCCCTTGCTCACACCTGTTGCAGAGACACCCTTATTTTAATTCTTTTCTGATAAACCTTTGGAATGTGCCAGCTCTTTCCTGTTGTCCTTAACTCCACTTTTTATGGTCTTCCAGGAGGGATGTTAAAAGGTCACCCCTATTTAAAGAAAAAAAAAGTACCAGAGACCTCCCAATAAGAAAGCATCAAGGACTATGCTTCCCTCCCATGGTGACAAGCTTGTGTACCAAACAAAACAAATACAGCCAAGACACCAGACTGAGGAGGGAAGGGATGCAGCCCAAGTGTCTTGGCATTATTTGAAACTGGATCTGGCTTGTCTCAAAGCTAAGGTGATCACCCTGACTCTGCCTCCTGGGTGTCTTCTGAGACCTCACAGCAAGGCAAGGAGACGGGGATGACCTTCCTTCCTCCTAGGACCAGAACACCGAGAACCTAGGGAGGAAAAAGGACCAACCACATTGTGTAGCTGGAAGCAGACTGAGGTCAAGCAGAAATGCCAGTGTCGGCCCCTAGCCTCAATTTCCCCAGAGGAAACTGAAAGGGTCGCTCTGGTTCTTTATGCTGATTCTACACTACATTGTCATCCAACCCCAACAGGATCTGAAGGGAAATGGAGAAGCTTCCAGAACAAGAAGAGACACACAAGGAACTACAGCCATGCCTGCTGGGTTCCACGATGGCAGGCACCACAAACAGAAGACCATTATTTTCAGACCATGACAACCATGAAGAGAGAGCTGCACCCCAAAAGTGACAGTGGGCACTCCCCAAGTTCAGACAGAATTACCACGCTTGTGTCCACATCTCCCGTCCTCCCTGGACCAGGTATTGGAGAAGGGGAAATAGTGTCAGAACCTAAACTGGTTACCAGTTAGAGCATGGTTATGTTAATTATTGTTGTTTTAGGGGTCGGGAGTGAGTCTTAGGCACTAGAGTATGCAAGGACAGAAATGAGCCAGAGAAAAGCCAGGGATCCCCCGAGGATCGGGGAAGGAGGTGGGCATCAGCCTAAGGCCTGTAGACCTGACAACCGGGGGCTGTTTGGAAAATAAGCTCCCTGTGTTCCTGGCTGCTCTGCAAAAGGTAAACAGTTGAGTCTGGAAGCCAGCCACCTTCCTTTGTATATTTTCCAAGCAATTTTATGCCAGTAAAGCCTTTTCACAAGAACAGCAATTTGGGACACGCATCAGGCTTGGTGTGGTTCCACTCTGCAGCATGGTCACCACCTCCTGCCATGGCATCCCCCTCTCCCCTTCCACAGGGTTTCTCTCTGTAGCCCTGGCTGTCCAGGAGTTCTCTATGTAGACCAGGGTGGCCTTGAACTCACAGAGATCTGCCTGCTGCTGCCTCCAAAGCCATCACACTGAGCTATCTTTCCTTGTTTTGTAATTCAAGCAGGCCTTGAACTTGCAGCCATCCTCCTGATTCTACCTTCTGAGTGTTGGGGGTAACAAGCATGTGCCACCATAGCTGGCCTTGCAGGAGCACCTCTGAGTTGTATATGGGCCTTTCTGCTTCTCCTCAAGTGGCCAAAGAAGCCACCAGCATTCTCAAGGGATGCTGCCCTGAAAGAACCTCACAGAAGTGGGTCTCCTTAGAGGCCTGGACAGTGCATTGTGGGAGTGAAGGGCTCTGAAACCAGAACACTGCAGAGGGGATGATGCAAAGGAAAGAGCACATCATAGAGGAGGGGCCTTCAAGGGAGTGACTGCACAGAGGGGACGCTTCAGAAAATAGCACAGCAATGTCTCCTAAGTCAGGGTGAGAGCAGGACTCAGGGATAAAGAACTCAATGTGTGTTCACCATTCTGTTTGTCTGACCGCTTGGCTCCCAGAACATTCCCAGAGACTTCCTGCTTTCCCCTCGGAAGGGGTGTGATCTGTCCCTCTCCATGAGTGTTAAGGGCGTCTCAATGAAAGGCCTGACTATGGGTGCTCCCCTTCCAAGTCTTGCTGTCCTGCAAGGCCAGCACTGGACATGGTTCCATGCAGCACACAGGGTTCTGAATTCAGAGAGGACAAAGGACCACTGTTTCCCTCGTTGACAAGGGCAGTGAAGGGGGGTGGCAGGGCTGGGACCAAGTTGGCAAACCCCAGTGGCCCTCCAGTCACCTTTGACTTCCAAAACAGTAACAATTAACATAATCATACCCTACCTGGTAACCAAGCTAGGTCCTGACACTATGCCTCCTTCCCAGGTACTAGCACAGGGAACCAGCCAGAGATATGAGCAAGGCCGGGAAACCCACCTAACCCCACGATCATCTAAACTATAGCTTCAGTTTCCCCATTCACAAAATGAGAATGCTGTTAACTCTTCCACACGCTGCCCAAGGCAGTGGTTCTCAATTCATCTTGCAACAAACAGGAAGAATTCATAGGTCCCTCATCTCACCCATACCCACAGGACCACCCACTGACTTCCCATGCTTCCCCAGGGCAACTCACCCCTATCCCCATGGATTGCTCATGAATTTGGGCCCCTGGCTGGGGGGGGGTGTTCTTTACTACAAAACATGTCCCCAGCACCTGATCATGGAGACACAAGGCCGCTAAGCAAAATCTATGGCTTCCTAGATGGTAGGGTGTTGCTAATTTCAAAGTTCAAACGCTGGTGTGGGACAAAGACAGGTACAAGGACTGGCCTTCACGGCTCCACCTTCTCAGAACTTCAGCTACCTAAAGAAACCTCACTGTCCTGCAGCACACACAGCTGCTGCATACATGGTTAGACCCTGATCATTATAGGCAGAGATCCAAATTCCCCTCAGAGGAACACTGAGGCAGCACAGTCACGCTAACGGTACTTTGCCGATGGGTATGGCATCCCTCAGTAAAGGTAAATGCTGTATCTCCCTCTCCTTACTGTTTGTATTATGACCAATATAAAACCCCCAACCCTCTGGTAGGAGCATGTCATAAGAACTCAGCACGGGTCAGAACTTCAATTCTGCAGAGCCAGGGTCCGAGCACTGGCTCACATTAACATCCTTAAAGAGTATGCTGCCACACCTGAGCTCTCTGTGGTTGTTAATGACAACAGTCACCCACGAGGTGCTGATGGGAAGCCAACACACTGCATTCCTAACAAGCACTGAGCACATGGGGTGCAGATGAAGACAATGAGTCACATAGAGGTTCAGTGGCATGCACAAGGGCATAGTTTCACATTATGGAAACCCAGGGTTCTCTACTACTGACACCAGGCTTCTGTCCACACCAAAGGGCGTGCTAGCTGCCTGGGGTTTCTTCCACCTCTCCTCCCTGCATGCAGTCCAAGAGTGGTTTGTTTTCAGATGTGACTTCAAATGGGATCCACCACATGAAAAGTTTTGTCTTAAGTCAAGGCTGAGTGGGACAAATGGCCCAGATAAAGGGCCATGGGATCTGGCAGAAGAGCCAACTCTGAGGTTGCAGTCTAGCAGACAGAAGTGGGTCTCTCAACCTGGGCCTTTCATGGATAGATCCCAAAGGCAGTAGGGTCTCTCTGCAGATTTGATTCCAAAAGCAGCCTGAGGGAGGACATGAGCACTTCCTGAAAAAGCACCCAGAGGAGT